TCTATAGCCCTCTTCTGCCAGTCATGCTCGGCCCGCGCGCATAATCAAACGTCGAAATCTGGGAAAGAACCTCGCTCTAGCAACAGGAGGCTCTATTTTCTAAGCCATCCAATGGCGCCATCAAAACCTCTCATAAAGTTGTTTGGGTGTGAACAATTTTAAAGGGGACTATCTATACAATAATGGGAGTATAATATAGTATAATATAGTATAATATGGTTAGTGTTGATTAAATGGGGATTACTTTCCATTAATAGGTCAGTGATGATTAAATGGTGGTTTGGCTTATTGTACCGCCAATATACCATATGGGAAAATACGAAGGCCGGACATGCTTGGCCATTGTATTTTCCCACGTCATTTTTTGAGGAAGTTTGGGGTAAAAAATCATGGAATATGCAACTGAAATAATTTTATACGAGGTCTTCCCATTATAACTATCCCACCTATAAACCCCATATCTGGCTAAAATGTCCCTTGCTACAAAAAGGGGCAAACCATTTGTTACCACAAAAAGAGGTGTTCCCATAAAAGTTGTTTGGGTGTGAACACTTTTAAAGGGAGATATCTATACAATAATGGGAGTATAATATAGTATAATATGGTTGGTGTTGATTAAATGGGGATTACTTTCCACTAATAGGTCAGTGATGATTAAATGGTGTTTTGGCTTATTGTACCGCCAATATACCATATGGGAAAATACGATGGCCGGACATGCTTGGCCATTGTATTTTCCCACGTTTTTCGAGGAAGTTTGGGGTTAAAAATCATGGAATATGCCACTGAAATAATTTTATACGAGGTCTTCCCATTATAACTATCCCACCTATAAACCCCATATCTGGCTAAAATGTCCTTGCTACAAAAAGGGGCAAACCATTTGTTACTACAAAAAAGAGGTGTTCCCATAAAAGTTGTTTGGGTGTGAACAATTTTAAAGGGGAATATATACCATAATGGGAGTATAATATAGTATAATATGGTTAGTGTTGATTAAATGTGGATTTCTTTCCATTAATAGGTCGCTATGACCTGGGCCCCGGAAAGTAAACCAAGGATTTAGAGTGAAATTTCCAGAAACCTTTTAGTAGAGAATCATGATTTTTTACTGCAACCCGTTTGCGTAACCATTTTGTAGTGACCCACATTGGCTTTTGATCCACCATCAAAAAAAACAAAAAAAAATGTAGCAGGGGGGGTTGGTTCAGATTCAAGCAGCATTTTGTAGTATAAGGCTGTGTTTGTAAACGGTTGAGTGGGCACAACTACCCTGCAGAATGCACACAGGGATGATATGTGTAGATATAATAATATCTCCTTATAAGCAAATCCAAGATCTTTGGGCCAAGCAATCTGGCCTTCAGGAGTTGGATGCCATGCTGCCAAGGCCAAGATGCGGCAAGCCATTCATCAAGCCTTAGATTTCGTGACGGTAGGTGTTGATATCAACTGCAACTGGAACACATTTGTCAATGTCTACGGCTACGGTATATGTGTATACGTAAATACATATAATTATATAATCATATATATATATTATATTGTATATATAGTGATAAATATGATTTATTTGTTATGACTACAAATCACGGTGCGGGGTTGTAGCTCAATAGGTAACCGCCCAAATAGCATCTAATAAAACCATCCAAATGAGACCTTCACATGAACAGATGCACCACATTCCACTAAGGTCATTATTTGGGGGAAAAGGGGTGACAGTAGCACATAGGGTAGTTATAGTATGTTATAGTTACATTTGATACGTGCCCTTGTCTATGGGATTCATAGTCCAGTTGCCTGCAATTTATCAGTCCAATTGTGGGGAGTATCCCAGGCCCTGTAAACCACAGATCCATTGAGAAGCCATTAACGATTGGTTGTATCCCAAAGTTTGTTGCTTCTGTTTCAGCGCCAACTTCTATTATTGTTTGTTTTACAACATTTATGAGTCCATCGTGACCATAACCAGTTGGTTGACCCTACTCAACCAAACTCAATGGATTGGTCAACCACAACCAAGAAACGTCTCAGGGAAGCCTCCGAAGCGATCGTGCCAGCGCAGGTCACTCGGTAGATCAGATCACACAGCTCTGGGGGACGAATTTGGACTCAAGCTGCCAATGAAGCATCCCTTGGCTTTAAAGACCTCTTTGTGACTCTTCACAGCGCATTGCTGATTGTGTTTTTTTCATTCTGGTAGTTGCGTAAGTGTTGCTTTTGTACCTACCTGGAAAGCCACAGTTGCCTATTGTTTCAGGCTACGCCTAGTAGCCCATGTTTGTGGCACTTTGCAATTCTCACACCATAAAAAAATATATAAAAAGGCACTTCATCTTTTGCTGCACAAATGACCGTAAAAGTGCCGCAAATATCCGTAAAGTGCCATAAGGACCCGGCCGTAGAAATCCTACTCCAAAAATGGTAGACTTTCCAGTGACCAAACCTTCGGTCACTTTGGAAAGTGCCCGAAACAATGGGCACTAGGCTTTCCAGGTAGTTTAAATGTTCTTATCACTGGGGTTCCAATCGGCTCCAACGGTTCAACGTTGCTTCACCAAGGGCCTGAGACAGCGACTGGCGCTCTTCGGACTGGGCCTGAGCGGGTTGGCTCTGCTGGCGCTCTCGTTTGTTCCGCGGCTTCGCCGGCGATGCAGCGCATAAGTCGCAATCCGATGGATTGGGCGCCGCTTCCCATAGCGCGAATGACAGGGATCCCATGCCAGTGGCATTGGGAATTTCCCTTGACAATGCGCCAGGGACCTGGCGCAGCTAATGAATCCAGTTCGGGATTTTTGGGCCTATATTTGGATAGATTTGGCTTGAAGAGATGTCAACTTTATCATACTTTATCCATATTCAGTGTTTGGAGTTCTTCCCACCCAAGCTGGCGGCTAAACTTCCAGCCATGGACAGAAAGGCTGAGTCTGATGATCAAAAGGATCATAGCCGCTGCTTCATTTGGTTGACTTGAGGTGGCGTTCAAAAATGTGTCCGTGTTATTCAGGGGAGTGTCCTTGCATGATGAGTATCCTTTGCATCACACTGGGTGTGGAGCTCAAGCTTCGGTTAAATTCCAAACTGTTGGCATACTGAACACGGTTAATTCCACACATTGATTCTGTCAACACAGTTTGAAAAGAATTATTCCACATTAATTCCACATTCTGAAACTGTGTTCATACTTCTGTTCACATTAATTGGCATACCTGGGTTTGTCTGAAAATAGGCTGCCTCCATTGAAATCCACTGGTTTTTGTCATCATCCCTATTGAAATGGCCATTTAAGGCCAGCCCCTCCATTTTCAGACACACCCACCGCGTATCCTGATGTTACAGGTATCACTATAGTTTGACTCTACCAGCCATGGCCATATGGCTATGGGTCAATACCTATAGATACATTTTTAGTGGGATGAACATCCATAAATCCCAGCTATTTTGATGTGAACTACAGGGGTACTATTGGTTTTGACACAATGCCATGGCTGTTGTCATTTTATTGACATGCAAGGGGAGTGTCCGCAAGAGTTGATGAACAAAGTCTGCCCGGCATCTGAAAAAGAAGTTGCCAAAGATGGTCCGCGAAAGCCAGCCAGAGTATGTGAAATGGCTGTACATTGAGAAAGGTGCAATTTATATACAGTAAATATATGTAAATGTAATAGAATATAATATAATATAACATAATATATAATATAATATAATATAATATAATGTAATATAATATAATATAATATCGATTGGAATGATTTTTTTTTGCCTGCTACAAGGATTGGTCCATTGGGTTAACAAAACCCCATGATACTCCTGGAGCCCAATGATTTAGCTGCAGGGCCTGGGATTTCAATGGCAACAGTTGGTCAGCTTTGTTTCTCAACAGGATACCATCTGGTTATTTAACAGTTTGCCATGGAAAATCACCATGCTATTAATAGGTAAACCCAGGTAAACCATCTATAAATATGTTCCCAATACCCTCTGTTAAATTAACATAGACCCTGAAAATCACCCATTTTTAGAGGAAACTCATCTTTCAACCCCGATGACTGGCAGGGTCGAACTGTTAATTTACTGGAGGGTATATTCTAAAATATGCTACCCTCTGGTTATTTAACATAGCCATGGAAAATGCTCCATTTATAGATGATTTTCCCAGCTAGAAACCTCCATTTATGGTTGGGATTTTCCATGGCTATGTTAGTAACTATAGTTATTTGCGTACCATAAACCATAGTTATTGGAGTTATGTTCACCAACTGAACGCTATCGAACGGGGGCCTCACATTGCAGGGAATTACGGTAAGCAGGGCTAGTCGACTATATTTCATGGTAAAAACCCATGGGTTTCCGGTTAAGATTTTCCCAACAAAACCAATCCATTGAAATATGAATATTAACCAGTTATGATAGCCCATTTATAATGGTTATATATAAATCCCTATTAAATCCCTATTAAATCCCATTAAATACCATATAAATCCCTATTAAATATGCTAAATTTTCATATGTGGCTTGAAAGTGCAGAGTCCACTGAGTCCACTGAGTCCACTGAGTCCACCGAGTCCACCGCACAGATGTTGCTAGTCTCAGTAGGTAGGTCACGCCTCGCCTGCTATCTTCTGGTAGACGTTTACAGTTTGCTATTGAAAATCACCATGTTTATCCATGTTTATCCATTTTGAATGGATAAATCCACTATAAATAGCTATGTTAGTTTTGGACCATCAATGAAGGTAAATTTCTTCACAGAAATTGACGATGAAGGTGACCAAATTGACGATGACCATGTTTCCGCGGCTCAAAAGTGTCCATCAATCCGTCGAAGACGGATTGACGCTAGCTGCAGCGCACCGGAGCAAGAAGATTCCGTTTTCAGCACCTGTTCCTATACCAAGATGCACAGTTGTAGAATCCAGAGATATACCAAGTATCATTAACTAGCATTAACTATCACTAACTATGTTTAACTACATTAGGGGCATCATCAACTGTCATTCGCCACGCCAATTGCCATGGGGCAACAGTGGAGCTAAGCCTTTGGCGCCATGTGGGCTACCCAGCACAGGTACAGTGTTGGTATCCTGGAAGTCGGTTTGGAGGAGAAGTAAACGACAGTCACAGCATCCGCTATGTGCATGTCATGTTTTACATATGTTTTTGTTTGTTTCGTTCAATAGTTAATTTATGTATATTTCTGTAATAGTAGAATCCCGGTTGAAGAATGGCAAGAAACCACAGTGCCGCACATGTCCCGTTCACCAATTCTGGGTGGATTCAAGCCCCTGGTATGACCCAGTAGCTTTCAGCAGTATATACATCAGGGTTTCTCAAAATGGTGGATCCCCATGTCAGGGTTTCATGGTCATTCATGACTTTCATGATTTGGGATACCCCATGACTGAGGAAACCTCCGTTTGTGTTTAATATAGATGTAACTGGACCCAGGATGCATTTGGGTGGATAGTAAACAGCTACAATGTGAGGCCCCGGTACCATACCTAAGTTCCTGTAGAACTACAACCAGGGTTTGTCTATGGGAGATATATCATGATATATCATGATATATCATGATATATCCATAGTCAGATGGGATTATACACCAAGTTATAACGTGTGGGAGCCCACTGTGTAGAGAGGTTTATAGTATGTTAGAACCTGCTTCTTACCCATATGTCAACTTCTGGGATTATCCATGAGCACTGCACCGTTTTTAGCCTTCAAATACCCATGGTGGCTATCGTTGGCTGGTAGAAGTCAGAAATCCAAAATTCCGAATTTTGATGCCATGCTGGCTACGTAAAGGTTGGCTGCCATCAGGTTATCAATCCTAACTAAAGATAGGTTCACCGAAATCCCAAATAGTACTACTCCAAGCACGGATTTATATAGAACCGAATGGTTCGTAACTTACTGCAACTAATTAACTCCACATGCAATTGAATTCCGCACGGGCTTGTCCGAGAATGGTGCAAAAACCGCCAGATACCAGTGTAAAATAGGGGAAATATGGGGAACAGCCATGAAAAACATGGATAAGCCAATCAATTAGCCATCAATTTTGGGGTCAATTCATTGACAGATCCATGTCTTTACCAAGTTACTCCATCATCGTTTTTCGCGCAGGCCGAACCGGCTCTCAATGTCGCAATCAGCGGTGCAGCTGCGCTCCCTGCCACGCTTGCACAGCGGGGCGGCCCTGCACAGCGGGGAGGTGTGGGAAAATCACCCGCCGTCAGTCGATTCAGGGATTCCCTGTGGGTGACCATACCACATATATCCACATATCACACATACTATGCTGGTTGGTGGTTTGGGACATGAATTTTATTTGTCCATATTTTTTCATAGATTGGGAAGAATCATCCCAACTGACGAACTCATATTTTTCAAGATGGTTGAAACCACCAACCAGCTATGTTTTGACCATGGCACATATGATGTGGATTTTGTATGGTGCGTGAATGTTATGATGGGTATACAACTGATGAAGAACCGGTTGATGGTTTTCATTTCGAACATTCCATTCTTATATTGTAAAGTGGTTATATGCACATGTTTGAGGTGGGCTTCAAATCACAAATCACATTGGTAACCTGGTATGACCCCTGTCCTCGAGGGCACTCCATGCTCCACCGGCCATTATCTTTATCCACCGAGGCATGCATTGTCTGATTTTGGGAAAGTTAGGCTCCGCAGGTCCCATTCTGAAGCCACAGCAAAAGGCATGGTGCTCAAAGCATTAGATCATACTCACATGCAACGTGTCTTAGCGCTTGATGTGTGCGTGTGCGTTTGTGAACATGTTTTGATCATGAAAAGATGATGGGACCAGCAAAGAACAGGAATATTAGCGCAGATTACAAATAATCAGTCAAATTGGTGGTTGCAGTTCCGACAAAATTCCAGACATGCTTGTTTCGCATCGTAAATATCAATGGGTTTACTCTGTCACATGGTGTTCTTGGCCAACGGCGTACACCTTTTTCAGAGGCTGCCCCATGCTGAAGTCATCTTCGGCATCAGTCAATGCTTCAGATCAACATTCATTAGCCAAGTGGAGGGGGCACAACTCTTGCCATGCCTTGCCATGCCCCGACCTGCGAATCCATTGTGCTTGAAGCTTGTCACTGCTTTTCCGGCCGTGTCCTGAGGGACACTCTGGAAACGCTGCAAGCCACCTTCAGGATGGAGCCTACCTGACAGCTGCCACTGGTGGCGACAGCTCTGCCGTGAAAGAACAACTGTTACATGTGTGAGAATGGCATTGTTTTGTTCGAATCTTCTATCCACAAAAAGTTCACAAACTACTAGAGATTTCCAGCTTTATGTTGTTTTACAGCAAATTTCCTGGCGTTTTCTATTCATAGGAAACGCAGGCCTGCCTACTGTATGTTTCTTTTGCACAACTGTGCACAGCAAATTCAGCAGGACTTGCTGGGACGCGGAGAGAAAGCTGCGGCAGTTTTGTGAAGCTTTCGGTCGATCACAAGAGAGGATCTATCCTAAGTTTCCCTATGATTTGATTGCTATTGAGGTTCATCCAAGATTTTACAGATGTTCTTGCTTCGTATCCCAATATATCCCAATATATCCCCATGAAATTCTTGGTATTTGTTGCTTAAACACCATTTCTTCTTGATTAAATCACCATATTTCCATTCTGTATGCCCATGTTGATCGAGTTGTTCGGCCGAGGCTGTGAGCAGCAGGGATCTGAGCGTGTTGGTAAGGCTGAGGACGTCTTTTTTTGCATGGCCATGGCCATTGTTGGGAGGAAACATTAGATGCTTTACATATTAAAGATTGAAGATGCTGAGTTTCCATAGTTAGGTTAAATCACCAAAGGGTGTATATATATATATGTATATATATATCATTATATGATTATGTGTATATATATAATTATATGTGTGTATCTTATATTATATATTATATATACACATAAAATCATAAATATGTATTCACAAATGTCTTTAAGTCTGCTGAACTCCGAAGGCGATGGGGATTGACCTGGATGGGAACTGGATTGGGGAAACTGACACTTCTTTATCTGTCTGGAATTGGTGTGTGAACTATATTAAATGATATTAAATGATATGATAGAATTTACCAAGACATATGGGAAAAAAAAACAACTATGGAACCCCAAAGATTTTTACACATGATGTTTTTTTTGTTTCAAGGGAGATACGGGCGTTTTAATCCGTTGTTTTTTTTGGTGTCTGAACAGAGTGGTATTAAAAACTCCCATGTACTTGGGGACGGGTTCACTTGAGACCTCAATATGGGTCGATGTGTTTCCTTCAAATATGTGAGGTTCCAAAAAACATAATATGTAACATTATATAAATATATTATTATCATATGTATTATAATTGCATATATAAATATAATATTCATTTTATATATAATATTTTAGCGCGGGTTGCATCCCTGATATGATTGCTTTCTTCCCCGCCGAGTCTGCTAAGTGTTTTTTGTTTCTGTGCGAATCGCAGGAGTATATGTATTTGCAAGTCTGGGCCTGAGGGGATGGCATGGACACAAATCCAGTGGCATGTTGTGGTGTCACTTGTTCTGAAACATAAACATGGAGCCTCTTGACCGGAAAATATCGTTGATATACGTTCATGAATAATTGTGTATCCGTAAGTTTCCTTTGTTGTAGAATTATCATTTTTACATATCTTAAACACTTTTTACGTCCTAGAAGAAATCGAACAAAATCATTATGTGCATAAATCCAATAATTGTGCAATTAATATCCTTGTGAACATATCCATGGTGCCGGAATATTTAACAACATTTGCCCTAAAAATCACCCACTCATGTAGGTTTTTATATACCAGCACCATGGTTCGCATATTGGTTTGGTTATCCTTCGCCATCCCGAAGACCAGGTGAAGAGAAGTCACTGGCCCACGCTGAGCCCTGATTGACGCTTGGTTTCTGCCAGGTGAACATGGAGATTGTAACGGGAATAAATCGAGGTTTAACATGGTTTATAACCAACAATACTGGGTATAGATATGTATAGATGTGTATAAATTGGGAGTATGTAAGCCAAAAACATGTTTTTTTTGGTTGGTAAGGTTTTGACCATGTGACTGGGATGTGTGTTTTCTTCAATACTTGCCATCATCCGGATGCACGGGAGGTGGGATGAGAATGGGTGGTACACTGCAGCAGCATGTTTTGTTGAGGGAAACACAATATACCCTCTGGTTATTTAACGTAGCCATGGAAAATGGCCCATTTATAGATGGTTTACCGAACTTAAAAATGGTGGATTTTCCATGGCTATGTTAAATAACCAAATGGTATACCCTCTGGTAAATTAATATAGACCCTGAAAATCACCAATTTTTAGAGGAAACTAATCTTCCAACCCCGATGACTGCCAGGGTCTATGTTAATTTACTGGAGGGTAATGAACAGTATATATAATGTATGAAAATCATCAACCGTCAGTCGATTCATATAGGGATTCCCTCTGGGTGACCGCACCACATATCACACATACTATGCTGGTTGGTGGTTTGGAACATGAATTTTATTTTTCCATATATTGGGAATTTCATCATCCCAACTGACATTCATATTTTTCAGAGGGGTAGGTATACCACCAACCAGTAACAGTATGGTTTTGAGCTATTTTCTTTTCAGACCGACCCACTAGTCACTAGGCTTTTCCATGCTTTTCCTGACCAAAAACTGATTTGTGCGCGCTTTCCAGAATGGTTCCAATGAACTATGTAGAATATATATATATACATATATTTATATAATTATATGGATGGATGGATGGATGGATAGATAGATAGATACGTGTCCGAAAGCGTTGGAGTTGGCGAGCCACTTTGGTTACAGTACATCCAAGTTAGTCTGAAAATTTGCTGGCTGAAGCAATAATCTATAGCCTCTGGTAAATGTTTACATAACTATGGAAAAATCCACCATTTTTAATGGGAAAACCATCTATAAATGGGCCATTTTCAATAGCAAACTGGTGAAGTGATGATAAGCCATGGCCTGGAAGGGGATCAAACCCGTCAGCCATGCTTCGATTTTGTAGCAGCAATAAATGGGCAATCAATGAATAGATCCAGTACTACAGTACTACAGGGTTCGTTTGGGGGGTAATCAAAATTGCCGGGAAGGAATGAATTATCTTTTGTATCAATGATATCCAATGATCAAGGTTTAGTAGGTCTATGGATCTATGTGTATCCCTCTTTTCGCTCATGTTCTCCCCCATTGAAAAAAACATGAAAAAACAGTGACCAGATCAGTAGAATCAGGCTGCATCCATGTGTATCATCATTGGCTGTATCAAAATCGCATAAATTATTAACATAAATTACATTAGTAGTAACAATTAATGATATTGTCATTGAATAACATAAATTAGCGGATACCCCCTGTTTCTACATACAAGACATTACAAGACGATGTTGAACATCCAGAAATTCTGGATCTCATGGCTTCCTGGGGCTTCGCGGTGAAACCCCACGGCTTTTCCACATCCTTTTTGTATGTCAGATGTCAATGTACCCTCTGGTAAACGTTTACATAACTATGGAAAATCACCATTTTCAATGGGTAAATCCACTATAAATGGTCATGTTCAATAGCTATTTTGACATAACCAGAGGGTAAATTCCCCACAAAAGACACACCCAGGTCGACTGTGGACACTTCGAGATTTTGCGCTGCAGCATTCGAATTGGGATTCCTTCACAGACAAAGGCAAGTTGCGGGTGCGGGTCACTCAGGTCACTCAGCGACTCCATGGAGTGCCGCACTCCAGGAGCAGTTAGCCTCCGGTGTTAAACATGGCAATGGGAAATCCATGGAAAACCCCTAGCAATGGTGCATTTAAACCGGAAGCAATATCTGCTGGGTTTGATTACCAAGGGGTACCAGGCTCAGATCGCGTATTGCTGCTGTTGGTCGGTTGGGCAAACGGCAACAAAATCTCAATGACCTCACCATAGATCATGTTTAGTGAGGAGAATCTTCCCAAAAAGCAGTATATGATGATCTATGTCCAAGTTTAAGAACGTTGTTTCATGTTCTTTGAGATTAGGAATTCCGAATCTGAATCTTCCCAACATATCTCATGGATTTGTTTTCTCATTTTTTTTTCCTTTCCAGTTTCAGAAAGCATACATTTATGGATACTTTGCCCAGATCCCATGGTTCCTGTTTTTGGGGATGGTTAAATCATGTGAAAATTCCCCATTTTGGTGAGTTTCCATGGAAATCCCAATGTTTCTCACCCAGATCCAAGGTGTTCGTAAGTTTCCCGATTAGTTGATCCTCCATTATAGCTGCTATTATGTTCCCATCCCCTTTAGATTGAACACCACCTTATGAAAACCATGGTTTAGTTGGGGATTTATACTCAGTATACTCATTTGGTACCATGCAGTGGGGGGTTTTAAAAAAAAAACGGGGCATGGGATTGTTTTCCCATCACACAGATGATTGTTACCCTCTGGCAATTTAACAGATCTTTTTTTGGCCAGTCACCATTTTTAGGAGCTAAATCATTGATCAATTGCCATAGCGCCATATCATGGGTCGAAATTCCCCGGTCGAAATTCCCCAGCGTTGAACGATGGCTCCTTTCAGGTCATCTATGAACTTGGCGCTCTCCTTTGTGAGTCGGGCGACAAGCTCAAAGAGGACACTTGAAAAGAAAACGACCTGACTGGGGACGTTAAAGTGAGGGGAGTTGACTGTATAAAGAAATATTGGTTATTACGGGTTGAATGGAGGTGTTCTATAGTTTTCTATGTAATGTAAACCCTGGATTGATAAACCCCTAGGTTGTTTAATTGGGGAGATACCATTTAAGTATCAGACTATGACTATTTGGGGAGTACCCCCCTAATTAATAAACCATGGTTTATTAATCCGGGGTTGACATTATAGATATACATGCACGATCATGTACGATATTATATCTACTTGGCAATCCTTAAATATCAGCTTTTTGTGCATCACAGGGAGATGGGTGATTTTTTTCACGGGGAATCAACAAAGCCAATGGAGATCTGGAAATGTTCTTCTGCTTTGGTGGCTTCAGATTGGTTGGTGCTTCCCTGTTGGAATCACCAAGCACCTGTGGAGAGAGTGGCTTTTCCCTGTTCAAAACCTGTGACCGAAAAAACTGCTCAAGCCGTCAAAGCCTTGGGCTGAATCTTGGTGTTGATCAATTTCAAACATAGCCCCAAGACCAACAATAATTTGATGAATTGGGTGTGTCTGGAAATAGTGTACCCCTAAACCCAATGGTTAATGATCATTATCCCTATTAAATGGCTATAATTGGGAATATACCCTATTTTCAGACAACCCAATTATATTGGGAGTAAACTAAGAACAAAGATCAATAATAGCTACTCATTGATTGTGAACAAGACCTTACAGTATATGGTGACTTGACCAACAATAAATGTTGGTCTTATCAACAGTAAACAGGTGTGTCACCATGTTTAACCAACAGTTTGCTGAGTATAGTGGGATGTCTAGAAAACTTAACATGATATTGGGATGTGTCTGGAAAGTGGGCTTTTGATACGTTGGGCTAATTTTCAGACACCCCTATAGGAAAACACACCAAGAAGTTCTATTGTATATATGTATATGTATATGATAATATGGATATATTTATTTAGTTACCCTCCGGTAATCAAACGTGACAATGATATATATATATATATGGAAATCCCCAAACAAAATGGAGGTTTATAGCTGGGAAAATCATCGAAATAAATGGTTGTAGTTTCCAGCAAGCCATGTTTGATTACCAGAGGCTATATCCCAATTATATCCAATTATACCCATATGACATGGTTAAAATTGCATATATTTGCATAAATTTACAAATGTTATCCTCATTGAATGACATATAGAGGTGGATACATAGTATCTCATATCCGATTATAGTCCATGTGTGGATGCACATATATATATATATATGTGTGTATTATATATATAGATAGATAGATAGATATTGATGTGTTACACATAATTTGTGCGGTGCATCTCAAGTCTCAGGTTTGACATGTCGACCCCCTCAGGATGCGATGTTGAAGGCACGCAACGACCTACAGCTGGCCGTGACTGAGGCACGAAATTTGCTGCCCACTGAAATCTCTGTTGCGGATGACTATACAAGTACCCTCTGGTAAACTAACATAACTATGGAAAATCACCATTTTTAATGGGAAAATCCACTATAAATGGCCATTGTCAATAGCAAACTGTTAACGTTTACCAGAGGGTACCGGCTTGATGATAGTGGGAATATCATGGAAAAACATCATGATACCCCTCTGGTGATTTGACAATGAACAATGGGGAGATAATTAAAAAATATTTTGGGGATCAACCAACTACATTGGAGAATGCAATGGGGATTTAATATGATTTAATGGGAAATACATATATATACATATATATACATATATATACATATATATACATATATATACATATATATACATATATATATATACATATATATATATATATACATATATATACATATATATACATATATATATATACCATGGGAATACAATCGAATTATAATGGGGATATAATAGGGGTATAGTGGGATTTACCCTCCAGTGTCATCAAACGTGGCTTGCTGGAACATATTCATTAAGTTCCATCAATTACCCAGCTATTACCATATAAGAACTTCCATTTTGTTCGGGGATTTTCCAGTGCAACATTTGATTATCAAAGGGTGAACCACCTTATATGACTATATATATATAAAGATATATCTAATCATATCTACCCATAAACCCTAGTGAAATATTAGATGTAAGGCGAATAAACTATTGGGCACCACCTTGTCTGATTTATCATCTAACGCCTTAAACCCCACCATAAGGTTGCCGTTTGGAGTTGTGGAAAACTGAAGATCGATCTGTTGTTGGGTTTGCCACGATGCTATGCTCTGACTATAATGTCATATCAAAATCATGTCATGTTCATATCAGGTTCATACCTATGAGACAAGCCAAACCTTAAACAAAATAAATAAAACTAAAAAATGTTCCCTGCAACCTGAGGGCCTCGAATTTTCCCAGGCAAGACAGCTCCCGCGTGTTGTGCGTCCCTGGGCGGTTTTGGTTTTTTTCGAGGTGATCTATTGGGAAGATCTTCACCTGACAATCCAGTGATGGAAACACGTGTTTTGTTGGATTGGTTTCTTGGTTTCCTGTTTTGTTTTTCCATGTTTTGTTCATGAAGCACAGGGGGTTCCCGTAAATGTTCTCGGACACCAACCCATTGATGCAAGCAAATGGATGGACTGTAGCTCCGCGGGCGATCAAGAAACCACCCAAGCAAACTCGCTCCGAATGGGGTTGGGTTATGCCACCTATGGTGTTCCAATTGAATGGCATCATTGACATTCATATTCCAGCTATACTGTAGTAGCAGCTATTTTCGAAGTGAACAGCAAGGTTTTTGATGTTTTTGGATCCGTGGCCCGGTTTGCCTTACGGAAAAACTCACTTGAATACAAATGAATACAAATGATACAATATGAGTACAGAGTATATATTCCCAAACAGAATGTGTGCTTATTTGATGTTATGTGTACCGCAATAAACCAATCACAAGGTTGTTTGAAAAGGACGCAAACAATAAACCAGTGTAGCATGTAAGCATTGATCAGATCTACTTAAGGCAGTGCCTCCGGTTACTTACGCTTACAATGCGGGACCGCCAAGATAGCTAAGTTTGTTTATAACAACTACTATAGGGTCTATTAGGGCTTAATTTATGTTTAGTAGCTTTCGTATAACAAATATAAATATATATTAATATATATATATATATATATACATACAAACATACATACATAGATAGATAGATACATAGATACATACATACATACATAGATACATAGATACATAGATACATAGATACATAGATACATAGATAGATAGATAGATAGATACATAGATACATAGATACATAGATACATACATACATACATACATACATACATACATACATACATACATACATACATACATACATACATACATACATACATACATACATAATATAATTTCAAATAATAAAGATACAAAATATGTCAATAGTCAGATTGGACCATTTTTTCCCATGCCAAGCGAACCCAGGTTCGGACAAACTTCGTGCCACCGCGGTGGCGGGGCTTTGCGAAGGCTTGAATTTGCCGAGCGCGGCACGGCGCCTCAAAGAGGCCGTGGACCGGACGATTCCCAGATTTGGCGATGGGAAACTTCACGACGGAAAAACATGGTTACCCTCTGGTAATTTAACAAAACGCTATTGAAAATGGCCATAGAAATAGTGAGTTTTCCCATGAAAAATGGTGATTTTCCATAGTTTTCTGTATGTTTACCAGAGGGTAAAACAGTAAAACATGGTTTAAAAATCGATCCATTGAAAAAACGAGTGGGGATCAGTTGTGAACTTTGCAGGCTGATGTTCCTATCAAAAAAAGTAGCTGATGTAGCTTGTGAAAAGAAAACACCAAGGCTGGCAACTGATTTCCAGCACCAAATCGAGGAACATCATGGACCTTTTCCCCCGACAATGACTTCCTGGACGTGTTTTTTTCACTATATCCGAGAGTGAAACATCTCGATGATTGCTGTCCCAAAACAAATCAAATTTTGTGTTTTCTGGATTAAAGTTCCATTTTGATTGGGTGAAAATCCAGTTTTGGGTGTTTTGGGTATGGTTCAATAGGCCCAGTTGCGCAGCTCGCAGGCCCTTGGTGCTGCGAAACGAGAGGAGAGTGCTGCGCCGTTTTTATTTGGATGAAGGATGTTGACTTGGAAGACCCTCCAGGTTGATAACAGTGGGAATATCATGGGAATATATGGGGATTTAGCCAACAAAAATGGTGAAACAATGGGATATAATGGAATATTAGTGTGATATAGTTGGAGATATGGTTTGGAATATCATGATCTCCAACTGAGGAATTAACCAACCACAATGGGCATGTAGTGGGGATTGATATACGTAAATATATAAATATAATGGAAATATAATGATATAGTGGGATTTACCCTCCAGTAATCAGACATAGCTTGCTGGAACATCCACCATTTTTTTCCCAGCTATGAAGGCCATTTGAATTTCCAGATGATTTTCAATTGCCAGGCGTGATACCTTTGAGGGTAGTTGTTTGGTGTTATAGGCTCAATCGGGGATATATGGTATTACCCACAGGATCCATGTATGGTATATATGCTAACATTTGGGGTATATTGATGGTAAATGTTACCATATATAGCATACATGAATCCTATGGGTTATAGTTTCCATACTTGATGACCTGGCTATGGATCCAGCATGATCAACCCTGGCTGATAGACAGAAGTATGCGGTCAAAAAAACTGCAGTGACTCCATAGCCCACAGTTTTTTCTCTTATTTGGTCAGCTCTTGGAAAGTCCAGGCCAGGGTTGTCTTGCAGTGCACGATCCATCCCAATTAAAAAAAATGAATCCAGATAACTAAGGTACACCAATAAATCGGCATCAAGTGACACATTCTTTTTTAAGAGACATCAATATATGTTGTACATGGCAGATCTACTGGCCCAATATTTGTTACTGAATGGATTTCCCGGAATCGATGCTATGAATCCTGATCCAACTTGTCGCTGGAAATAAGGCAGAAAAAATCCTCCGGATTCATCAGATGGAGCCGGCTGGACACGAACAAGTCAGCTTGGAAACGTCTATTGTATTAATACTGCTTGGTGGTTTCAAACATTTTTTTTGTTTCCATTCAGTTGGGAACAATAATCCCATTTGACGAACTCATATTTTTCAGAGGGGTAGGTATACCACCAACCAGAATAAGTCTTGTATGTTCTTTGTTTTAAACCACATTGTTCAACCATTGGGGAAATGATCTTCCCGTATCGATTTTTTTTTAGTGTCGGGTCGAAACCGTCAATCTCCTTGACTTTTCATCACCAATCTATTCCTTGAGTATATCCATCCAACAACCAGTTCCCTGGCCGGATTTCTGAAGATAAACATTATATAAAAGAAATTCACTGGTTGATCATCTTTTCCCTATATGGCAGTGTGTCAAAACCTTGTACCCCTGGTGAACATCAAAATAGCTGGTAAATGGATGTTCATCCCACTAAAAATGGTATTAATAGGTATTGATCCATAGCCATATATACACATAAATACCATTTGATCATCAAACGATGCAAAGGAAACTTCTCTGAAACTTATGATAAATGGAGGGGACATGACAGTCTACAACTGGGTGATTTTTTCATTCCTATGTTTCATCACCAGAAGGTACTTGGTGGCTCATCCCACTTAAGTGGGTTTTTTCACCCCAGTTAGAAGTGAATTATCCTGGATTAACCCTACTTATCCCACTGATCACTGAGGTGAGCTAACTCATTTACTAAGTGTGAATTCTCCACCAAAAAGTTGCAGTTTGGTGTTGGACCTCACCCTTTTTTTCAGGAAAACACTCTTTTTGCCAGGAGTATGACACGGCAAATCTCTTCAACCTCGCGAAGAAGTGACTGAGTTGAGTAAAATAGAATGGTGGGTTGAACTTCAACAAGCACGGGGTTTACAAATGGGGGTATGGGTCAATACCTATAGGTACATTTTTAGTGGGATGAACATCCATTTACCAGCTATTTTGGGGTTCACTAGGTACCAGGGTTTTGACCCATCCCCATGGTTTGTAGATGTTCATAATGGGTGTGTGTGTATATATATATATACATATTGGGAATATAGTGGTTGTTGGGGAATGAAGCAAGATTTTTATGGTGGTTTAATCTTAACCAACAATTTGGTGGGATTTATAAAGGTTAATACTTTGTTGACCTGTGTCTGAAAGTGAACAATTTGTTTGAGATTGATCTTGGAGATGTTGACCTTAACTGAATATGTTTTGGGATAGTTTGAGTATTGTCCTTGCAGTCCCGGTATTAATCATCATCATTTCCCAAATTTCCCCAGCATTTTCAGATGTAGCACCAGGAGAAAATTCTTACTGATAGGGAATCTGGGGATCCTGAGACATATTTAAATCTGCTTGGTGGTTTCAAACATGTTTTATTTTCCATAATATTTATGGAAAATAATCCTTCCCATTGACGAACTCATATTTTTCAAGATGGTTAAACAACCAACCAGATATAGATAGCAATAATCACCATTAATCACCATTAAATCACCATTAATCACCATTAGTTTTCAAGATGGTTAAACCACCATAGGAATGCAATCTGGAATTCTCTGGAGTCTGACTCAATTTTCATGGTCGTTTGGTCATGGAGTTTTCGAGCGGCTATGGATCCAACCCTATCCGATGGCGACTGAGGTTTCATTTCAAAGGCTACATTCGAAAGATAGAAGACAGGCTGGAATCAACATTGATTGCACTGAGTCCGAACGTAAAAGGGGATGCAAAGTGACTGTAGTGTTTTTTTGTTGGCTTTCAAACATGTTTTAAAGAAAAACATCCTTCAATGATATGATTATTTTTCAGGAGTTGGATCAGACATGCTGAAACCACCCATCAAGGACACAGTCTAGCAAAGGGAGCTGCCCGGCAGAATTTCTGTCTCGGTTTGCCTTTCTATGAACCCCCGCATCATCCGTTTCTGTGTTTGCTTTTGTTAGCTCGGCTCCCGAATCCTCCTCCCTCTCCTCTTCCCCTTCCTCCTCCTCCTCCTCATCATCATAATATATATATATTACAGTATTATAATAATAGTGATAATAATAATAATCATCATAGTAATAATCATAATCATAATAATAATGAAGATAATAACTATTATTAATCATATTCATCATCATCATCATCATCATCACCAGGACAGGCCATACCTTCAGCATGTTGTTCCTTGGATCATCCAGCACCCCTCAGTTGCACTGCGCGCAGGTCTATCACAGTCACACAACTTCGGCGTGTGCTGAAGCGGCACGGCAGCAAAACTAAACCCAACACTTCTTGTGGCCAAAAGGACTAAAGGCTTCACTTTAGTTGGTGGATATTCTCCAGAACCCTAACATAGCTATGTCAATCTATGGTTGTTTCCTGTTCGGAAATCATCTACTTTCACGGTGGATTTTCCAATAATTCCCATCGCATATGGCGATAGTCTGTATAGGAACGAAGCCTCCAGCAGGGGACCCTCTACATATCTACATCAAATATAATCAATCCCTGGTTCCAGAAACTCTGGTTGTTAACCTGTCTCTATGGGGTAACTGAAGCACTTACCTGTCCCGGAGGTAAGTGAAAGGTTAGGACATATTAACAGGGGATTCGAAAACAACCATCATGGTGATATAATGGAGATATACTTTCAGATATGCTGGGGATACAGCATAACCAACAACGACCACGAAGTTGTTTGAATTTTGGGAAAAAAAACATCCATTACCCTCTGGTAATTTAACATAACTATGGAAAATCACCATGATTAATGGGAAAATCCACTATAAATGGCCATTTTCAATAGCTATTTTGACATAACCAGAGGGTAACTTGACAGCTATTTTGATGTGAAGACCAGGCTATCTCATGGTTTGTTTGATGAATGGGACATTTTTGCGAATTGAAGGCTTTTTTTAATGCGAAAAATGGAGTGGCCAGTTTTCATAGAGGCACAAGGGTATTGTTTGGGAGTTCGTTACTGAAATCATACTAGGAAAACTATGGGAATATAAATATTTTATGGTTTATACAATCCATTTATGGTTTTTCCTAATCATTTATGGCTCTTTACTGAAAGCATACTAGGAACCTTTAATGCGAGACGGCCCAACTTCGGATGATCAACACAACTGAGACCCACTTGAGACGGCCTGGAACACCACGATTTTTCTATCCAGAATTTTCAGCAAAATTACCCTCTGGTTATTTAACATAGCTATGGAAAATGGCCCATTTATAGTGAGTTGTCCCATTAAAAATGGTGATTTTCCATGGCAAACTGTTAAATAATCAGAGGGTATATATACAACAGTCGCTTTCACTGACAATCTGCAAGTGAACCATACCACTCCCATCGAAACACCCCAGGCCCCACCAAAACCCCCAGCAAATCCCCAGCAAACCCCCATGCCATGCCTATAAATGGGAAGTTGCAACCTAAAGAGAACTTTCTCCAGCAAAATAATGGGAGGGCCTGCCAAAAGTTGTGGCCTGCGCAAGTCCCATCAAAGACCCATGCAACTCCCACCAAAGTCCCATGCAATTCCCAAGCACCCTGAGGGACAACAAAAACAAGAGGTTGTGAACAGTTTCCATGGGGTCTCAGAACGGCCCCACGATGTTTCAATAAGGCTTCCCTAAGTAGGCCCCTTTCGCCACTGTAAGAACTTTGTGGTTCAAGTTTTGCCCACGTCTAAGGTATTGTTCGGAGGTTTGTCATCACTGGTATGAGCTTCCCAAGGATGAGGCCCGAGCCTGAAAGCTCACCAGATCAGCTTGGGGGAACGATGATATGGTGAAGCAAACTAGGTCAGTGATGGAAAGTGATGAAACAGTTTGGGAAAGCTGGGTGAAAATACTGTGTTTTTTGGCGAGATCAGCAACCAAAAATGGCTACAGACGGGTATTTAAAGACCAAAACTAAGGGATTCAGCAGCAAAAGTGGGGGAACGGACTGGTGAATGGTGATCCAATGGTTTCCCATGTTCCACATGTTGAATCAGGTGCACTTGCCTTCATTCTTGTGGCCTGGATTCGTGCCAATCAGATTCTGCACCCATGAATTCTCCACCAAACAATTCATGATGAATCATGATCAGTCAACGCCCATTCTGGACCATCCCAGCTTTCTTCACTTTGTTTGTCACAAAACTGGATGGTAACTCCCCATCACTTGACAAAGAACATAAGAACCACCTTCAAAACTATGGGTCTGTTTGGAAGTGGGGTATACCCTCCACATGGCGTTTGTCTCTTAACAGGACAAATGATCATAAACAAGTTGACTCGGGGTTTTCCCTCATCCACCACTGATGTCACTCACTCGTTATGGTTGTCACGCTGCAGGTGGCCAACCCGAGTGCAGGGGGCCCACCGCTAAGCATGGAGGTACGCCAGGATTTTGTGCCGGGGTGCCCCATAGTTTGCCAAGATGCTTCAAAAGGGTTTAGAGTAGAATCTATGTATATATATATATACGTATATATATATATATATATTTATTATAATTATATACATATAGTTATATATATATATTTACATACATAAATATACTTAATGGGAATTTTAAACCAACTTATACATACTTATACTGTACCTGTGGGGCACCATCTTGGACCATCCCAAAAAAAAACACAGACCCATTCTGAACACCAGCCACAGAGGGAAGTAGTTGCGGATTTGCGGAGGGTATGACCGGATACCAACTGTTGATACCCTCTGGTTATGTCAAAATAGCTATTGAAAATGACCATTTATAGTGGATTTTCCCATGAAAAATGGTGATTTTCCATAGCTATGTTAGTTTACCAGAGGGTACTGTTGAAGGGCGACGCAGTTTTGTTGCTTGAGACTTGAGACTGCACACGCAGCCAAGATTCGCAGCAGTTTTGTGTACCTAGACCCTCCAAGTATCCATAGAAATTAATTAGTATGTTACCCTAAGGGCTTGTCAATTTTCGCACGTTTACCATTTTTTGATATTTGTTGCCCATCGGGTACTTGGACTACATATCCTTTACACACGGACTTCGAACTGACCTGCGACTCGTAGGTGTTGAATCTGTATCACATCGACAGTTGGCTGATTTGGCCGGCAACGGAGGCACCAGCGGCAGCAGATTTCCGCGAAGTGATTCCAATGACATGTGGGCCTGTCTGAAAAATGATGTATACCCCCGATGGTACTTTTAATAGGGAAACTTATTATTTAGAGGTATCATATTTGCAGACAAACACATGTTGATGATATTCCTTGGCATTTCTGGCCTGCACATTTCAATTGAGACCGAGAATCATGGTGTGAGATGCAGAATTCATCTCAAATCATACCATCTGGTTATTTGACATAGCCATGGAAAATCTCCATGTTTAAGTTCGGTAAACCATCTATTTCGAAAATCGGGCCATCGAAAAACCATGGCAAACTGTTAGTCATAACCAGAGGGTATATATATATAATTATATATATATGATACAGTATCATATGATCAAGATATGTTCCTTCCAAAGATGTTCTTTCTCATCACCCTTGGTATCTGGTATCTGCTGGTGTGTTTACGTGTAAACACCATCCCTTTAAATCCGGAAAAAAAAACCATGAGATAGTCATGATATCGAGTGACATGAGATAGTTCTATGACATTCCCACTATACTTCATTTATATTATGTATCATTACGTATATATATATATATTATGAGTATTATTATTATTATTGTTATTATTATTTATTATTGTTATTATTATATAGATGATTATAGGATTATATGTATATATATATACACCATTAATTATATCCCATTAATAAAATATCTGGTTTCACATGCTCTCCGCCTCAGGCATATCGAAGCTCCTTTATCGAACTTATAGCCGAGCAGGCCGTGCAAAATGGGGCGGCAAGGGGTTGAAATATGGTACCTCTAAATCCATTATTTTCCCTACAGGATGGTGCCCCCCGGTTATAAGTTGGTTTATAATCCCCATTAACTATAGGTATAACCCCCATAAACCCTAGTTATTGGACTTATAAACCAACCTCTAAATCCATGATTTTCCCTATTATTATTATTGGGACAATGATAGGGAAATATTATAGTATAAATTATTATTGGGGAATAATATTGGGAATAATATGGGATTCCCTATCATTGTCCCTATGATTGTTTTTTGTCCCAAGCATTATCCCTAAATATGGTACCTCTAATATGACATATCGTATAATTGTCCCTATTTTTTGAGAATAAATGCCTATAATTAGAGGTATACATCATTTCTAGACGCACCCATTCTTTTTGAAACCTCTAAATTTGAGATGGAACCCAAACATATCCAAGAATAAGTTAATGCCCAAGTACGTGAAATAATCTTCCAGATCCATCCACAGATCCATCCAGATCCTATGTTTGGTGTGCCATTTCAAGTTTTAGGGGGGTTAGTCTGATTTTACAGACTTAAAATATTGGGATTCTGCCAAAGGTGATCGAAGTTTCAGCAAACCCTCGGATCTGAACGAACCAAATTCGCCAGGTTCTCGACAGAAAATGGGGATTTTCATCACAGGTGTTCAGCGAAAACGGCCGGAAAAATCACCGCCGAAACACTGGAAATTTCGCCGCCAGGCCCAGCCCGCCAACTGGTGTGTGAGTCACTGCTGGTCACAACCGCAGCACGGCTGCATCCGGAGACACGAAGCTGGTGGAAGTGGGGTCTATTGGGGTGCTATGAGCCACAGCAAAATGAGAGCAGAATGCGTTCATTCTGTTTTCATGTGTTTCCATTGTTTCCATTGTCTTTGATTTGCAAACAACTTATCTGACATGCATGTACGAATGTAATCTTTATTGATGTTTGCTTAGTTTTGCCTCCATAGACCAGGTGGTTTCATTATCATTCAGATATCAAATGATATAAAAAATATTACCAACCGCTATGAATTTAGATTTAAATATATTTAATGTATATATATTTATATATATATATATATTTATCTATATTTATATATATATTTATATAGATCAACATACTGGGGAGTTCATTGTCAATCTCAGCCTTTCCGCGACAACCAAATTCGGGCAGCCGGTGAAGCCACAGGAGTGTGGCTACCAAGGCACACCTCCTTGGTGGAATGCATCAGTCAACATGTGCAGACGAGGCCGTTTCTTCGTGGCTTCATTTTTTCTTGCGTTGGTCGTGGGGGTTGGTGGAAATGGTTCTTTCTTATGCTGTAGATGGAGGAATGTTTTACTTTTTTTATGCCCATCATTCAGCATACCAGCATTGCGCAGATACAGATTGGCGATAAACCACCAAACAGATGGGATCCTCACCAGGGAGTGATGTTGACGTCGTCAGTAACCATCAATGAGGCATTGATATCAGGGAGTCTCAGGTAAATCATGGTAAATAATGTTTTGTTTTTCGAAATCGTGCATATATCCAATTATATATATATATATACAAACATATATAACATATATAACATATACATATATATATATATAACATATGTATATATATACTGGTAGTGTTGTGTTTTCTATAGATATAGATCCATGGATCACCTCATCATCAGGTCATTGCATCGCTCAAGCAACTTCTGGATCTGGGCCTATGCTCACAGGCGTCGTCGGAGATCTTTGCGGCCCGGGAATGGTGGATTTAACCAGCCATAATGGAATAGATGTAGAATCAATGGATGGCATTATGAATTGTTTATGAGTGGTATGTTGAAAAAACTATATTCCACATTAAATATGTATTCCATATAGATGTAGATATGATAATGAATTGTGATTGTGGATCATAAAATTGATATTAATACCGTTTAAGTATATGTTTAAGTATCATAAAAATGAGTGGTATGCTGAAAAAACAATATTTATAGTGATAATGATTTATATATATATATATCGCTACCAAAGTTCTCATAAAGAAGAATTGGTACCAAATTTCTCACATAATGACTGGAAAATGTGATATTGCAAATCCGACGAACCCTCAGTAATACTAGTATATGTCATTTTTTGCTGGAAAGTAATCTTCCAGCCCCCTATTATCTGGCAGGCTCTACGTTGGTTTGGGGGATTGTATATTGGTATGTGATGATAATAAATATTGAGAAACAAGTTTATGGCGGACCCCAACACAATCTATGTTTTTAAGAAAAAAACACATGGTTTTAGGGTACTCATTGTATGAATCCGCCCCGCCATTTAAACATCCGTTTGCATGATGATGAGGAAACCAGTTGGGCAATATATAATAGACCATATCATCATTTTACCATTTTGGGGATTGTATAACCGTGTAATAGATTATTCCCCAAAATGTGTTTTAGGCGATATACAATACCATCTTGGTGACAATCCTCGCCGGTATAGATATCGGATATATATATATATACATTAAAAATATATCATACAATGTTTTGATAATAACATATATCGTATAGATTTCACATATATACATATATCATATAATATATATATATACAATTCTATATAATGTACATCATATATATATACATATAATATATATATATATATACACAATGTATATAATATATTGTTGGACGTACCTAATGTGATACCAGGAATCGCATCAGTTCCTGTAAAACCTGGCTTGTCTGCAAAGTTGCGGAGCGTTGGCTCATCATGCTGGGGATTTGTGGAGATTGTAGTGTAGATATTGTAGATAAATACGTGTGTATACTATATATATTGATATATGATTATATAATATATCTATATCTGTATATATATTATTAATATCAATTTTCATCATATATAATTGATTATATATCTATATATTGTAATAGTAATTGACTAGTAATTGACTAGTAATAATTTATATTGCTACTGAGTTACTGCATGTGAATGTTATAGAATATGTATGTATCTATGGATATAATTATCTGTGTGTAATATGTATATGTTGATATAATCATGTTGCTACCTGTTATTCTTTGATGATATGAACTGGTGCCAGAACAGTAGCATGTCATCCTAAAAGCAAACACACATCATTTGATCTAGATGATTTTGTATGCATTTGACTAGATGACTTGAATCATGATGTTCGTTTTAGCTTGTTTCTACACATGAATAACCAGATTATTTTACCAGATTGTTTAACATAGCCATGGAAAATGGCCCATAGAAATAGATGGTTTACCGTTCTTAAAAATGGGTGGATTTTCCATGGCAAACTGTTAGTCATAACCAGATTATTTTAATGTTTTATTTGTGATGAAAAGTTGATGTGTCACAATCATCACTAGATCGTTTTCTCGGGGCGAGACTTGATGGTTTTCCACATGTTTTTGTATAACCCCAGGCTACAAATCATATTCCTATCATTAATCCTCGAAGGATTCACGGTTATTATACAAAATGATAATCCATGATATCCCTTTCACATCCAATTCATATCCATTAATTTGATGATCTTTTGGATATCCCATTGATATCCATGAATTTTTTACATCAATTTTTGTATCCATTATGATCATGATCCAAGTCGTTATCCCATTCATATCCCTGTTTGATCACTTTTCTATGATTTGGCTATAGATCAATACCTATGAAAATACCATTTTTAGTGGGATGAACATCCATAAATCCCAGCTATGACTTGGGGTTCACCAGGGGTACCAGGGTTTTGACACACTGCCATTTTGTCACCTCCGCAACGGATGCATCACAGCTCCGTCTCGGAAGCTCCAGAGCCGGGGACCGCAAATTGCGGGTCTGGGACGACCTCAGCAGCAAAAATAGATGCTATGTGTATGTATATATATAATATACATATACAATATATTATTATTATTTATTATTATTAATTATTATTACTAGTTTTATTATTATTATATATATATATGCATATCTATATACACTATATATAGTAGTGTTTCTTTTCGTTCATTACACTGTATGTTGATTTGCATGACGCTTGGGGTGGTTTCCAGCGACGCATATTTGGTGTTGGAGCTCCAGTAAAAATATGTACACCAGTGCCCTCTGGTTATTTTAACATTGCCATTGTTATTTAAATATATATCCCATTATCATCCATATTTACCCTCTGGTAAATAAACATAGACCCTGAAAATAGCCAATGTTTAATGGAAACTAGTCTTCCAACCCCTATCTGCCAGGGTCTATGTTAATTTACCAGAGGGTATATCCTATTTATTTATATCCATAATGGGATGATAATGGGATATACTCTCTGGTTATTTTAACAGTTTGCCATGGAAAATCCACCCATTTTTAAAGAACGGTAAACCATCTATTTCGATTAGGGCCATCTATACCATCGCGAAATGTTAGTCATAACCAGAGGGTAACTTGAGATAGAATATATACACACACCTAGTTGAAGCAAACATGGAGGTGAAAAAGTTTATGGCTAATTCTCATAAAATATGTCTCTTCTCTTTTGTATTTCACATCCCGTTGGATCCTCCCAGTAGTTAATTCCTAGCAATGCACTCGTCACCACTCGTCCATATATCTTTTGGATCCAAGACTTCATGGCCTGGGGCCTGAGTTGCATTGAGGGTTTGAGGAGTCTTGGGATGGGACTGCGATTATGACTGATACTTCCAGAGATTGTATCCCTAATGTCAATGATTATATGAATATATTGTGCCACAACAACTACATGCCCAAAACATTCCAAAACTATGTTTTTTCCTAGTTATTTAACTTTGAATTCTTAGCCTCACTTCTTTCTCTCTTTCTCTATATATATCTTCCGACAATTTTTGCCATGGAAAACCTTTGCCATGGCCATGGATCCCAGGTCTGGATTTTGTGACGCGTTGAGCCTGGCGGAGGGTCGGCTCTTGTTGGTGCTGCAGGCCCTGCAGAGGGTCATAGGCACGTTAGTTCTTCTCGCGCCATTGTGATGGGGAGTATAACATGTACTTATAATGTGAATTACATATAATAAAATCTAGACGTATTCATGTATGGAGATACTTGTGTGTGTATTTATGTTATATATACACATATTTATTTATATTTACATATATACCATTGACCAGCTTTAGTAGATGTTTGAAAGCGAGGCACCTGAGATTGGTGGCTGATGTAAATGATTTACCCCATTCAAAAGTGGAAAGTTTTAGGTTTTAGATTCATTTCAGATTCTAGTTCTTGATTTGCCTCATTTGTTCATGAAACTTAGATCATTTGTGGGTGCAAAAAGGCATATATTTAGTGCGTCGCATCTCTCCCTTAGATGTTATCATTGGTTTGTTGGTTGATACCTTCTGGTACTGAGGCATCGCCATGGAAAATGAGCCATTTCTAGATGATTTGCCTGTGAAACATGGCGGGTGGCTACGGCTATGAGTATGCACATAATTATCCCCAATGTTGGTTAGTTCAACTCTGATTTCAAGTCCCAATTTTGACCGATGTGGGAAACTCAATGCCATAAACCTACCTTTTGGGGATAGTTGTATTTTTGGGTACCACATTGGTCCAAATCCCGGTTCTCCGATTTTCTCATTTTCGTTGCAGTGGGAGGACGTGCAAGACGGGGCTGCTGTGCAGAGCACCCCCTTCGACCGCCTTTGGTGCATGTTCGAGGCAGGACAAAATTCTGATTTCCTAGGGCCCAAAGGGAATTCGACACTTTTTACATGACGGATCTAGGCAAACATGGAGATTGTAGCTACCAAAATGTGTGGATTTCTGGGTATTGTATCACCAAAAAACAGGATCTTACCGTACTATGAAATATGTTTTTTTTGTCAAACAAAAGTATGAGAAATGTGATTGGTATAGAAATACACATGGGAGACTTTTTCCACTCGATATGTTGTTCATGCCCATTCTTTACGACCAACAAATTCGTTTTTTTTAGCTTATCCATGGGAGGATTTCACCAATAAAGGCCAGGTAGATAGCAGCAAAACTGCTGACATCCTATCCCCATATAAAATTGGAGATGTGTTATTTACAGTATTTATACTAAATTAGTATAATTCATTAGATTATGTGTGATGTGCTGTAGATGTTAGTCCTGAAGGTCCTGGATTTTTCGGAACGGACTGGTTTTTGGTTGGTCCCAAAAAAACGCGGATTCGCAATCCCCATATCACAGAGACGCCATGACGGCTTGAGGAGGATGCGAAAAACATGAAAAAAAATTGCTCCAACGCTCATTTTGGAACACATGTACAGCACTCTCAGCACCTATCTACAATCCCATTCTGGCTGCTTGATGTTGGTTCTGTCCTAACGCCACACTAGTCATGGAGACATATAGCTTAGTTTACCATACTATCCTCCAGTTGCAAAATTGGGGTGTTCCATTTGAATATTTTGAATAACAGTGCCATTTGAATAGCAGTGACTATCACTCCGTTGCGGCTCCAGAGTCCAGAGTGTCACTGGGATGGCATTGGGATGGTCCACATGAACTCTTGGTGGTTGTATCCCCATTGATTCGGACAATCAATAGTCACCTAGATGGCTTCATAAAACATGATGGTTTTGTAGGAAAACAGTACATAACATGCGCGCCTTAAGTCAGGTTTGGGATCCTTGATTTTAATCTATGCAAGTTATGCAGATACGATATACAGATTGATTTTTGGCATTTAATGTGTTACAGTAAAACTCTTAACATATCTTGACAAATTCAACCAGCCCTATTTGGAGTTTTGGGCATTGGCTTTACATGGCTTTACCATATGAGTACAGTGATCGACGTGGGTTTCGTTCTGAATCCTGACTTGGATGAAGGGAAAATTGCATGAAACATATGAAACTCCTGCATTGGAGGGTAAATGCCATGGTGTCCTATCAAGTTTCCCGTAATTAAATCCATCAACAAATCAATCCATCGGCAAACAGATTTGATGTTGGTGGACCTCTGTGTTTGACATTTTGACAGGTTTATATAATACGCTTAAATCTCAATCGCTGCGCATAATTCCAGCCATTTCCCCGTTGACTCAATCCATTGACTATCAGTGAATCCCAGCATGCGTTGCTAGAATCTGCTAGAATCAGTATTTGGTCAAGTTAAAGCCACCATAAGTCAAGTTAAACCCACCATAAGTCCAGTTAAACCCACCATAAGTCCAGTTAAACCCACCATAAGTCCAGTTAAACCCACCATAAGTCCAGTTAAACCCACCATAAGTCCAGTTAAACCACCATAAGTCCAGTTAAACCACCATAAGTCCAGTTAAACCCACCATAAGTCCAGTTAAACCCACCATAAGTCCAGTTAAACCCACCATAAGTCCAGTTAAACCCACCATAAGTCCAGTTAAACCCCCATAACCCATAAGTCCAGTTCCAAACCCACCATAAGTTAAACCCACCATAAGTCCTAGTAAACCCACCTAAGTCCAGTTAAACCCACCATAAGTCCAGTAGTTAAACCCACCATGTATAAGTCCAGTTAAACCCACCATAAGTCCAACCCACCATAAGTTCCAGTTAAACCCACCATAAGTCCAGTTAAACCCACCATAAGTTAAACCCACCATAAGTCCAGTTAAACCCACCATAAGTCCAGTTAAACCCACCATAAGTCCAGTTAAACCCACCATAAGTCCAGTTAAACCCACCATAAGTCCAGTTAAACCACATAAGTCCAGTTAAACCCACCATAAGTCCAGTTAAACCCACCATAAGTCCACTAAGTCCCCACCATAAGTCCAGTTAAACCCACCATAAGTCCAGTTAAACCCACCATAAGTCCAGTTAAACCCACCATAAGTCCAGTTAAACCCACCATAAGTCCAGTTAAACCCACCATAAGTCCAGTTAAACCCACCATAAGTCCAGTTAAACCCACCATAAGTCCAGTTAAACCCACCATAAGTCCAGTTAAACCCACCATAAGTCAAGTTAAACCCACCATAAGTCCAGTTAAACCCACCATAAGTCCAGTTAAACCCACCATAAGTCCAGTTAAACCCACCATAAGTCCAGTTAAACCCACCATAAGTCCAGTTAAACCCACCATAAGTCCAGTTAAACCCACCATAAGTCCAGTTAAACCCACCATAAGTCCAGTTAAACCCACCATAAGTCCAGTTAAACCCACCATAAGTCCAGTTAAACCCACCATAAGTCCAGTTAAACCCACCATAAGTCCAGTTAAACCCACCATAAGTCCAGTTAAACCCACCATAAGTCCAGTTAAACCCACCATAAGTCCAGTTAAACCCACCATAAGTCCAGTTAAACCCACCATAAGTCCAGTTAAACCCACCATAAGTCCAGTTAAACCCACCATAAGTCCAGTTAAACCCACCATAAGTCCAGTTAAACCCACCATAAGTCCAGTTAAACCCACCATAAGTCCAGTTAAACCCACCATAAGTCCAGTTAAACCCACCATAAGTCCAGTTAAACCCACCATAAGTCCAGTTAAACCCACCATAAGTCCAGTTAAACCACCATAAGTCCAGTTAAACCACCATAAGTCCAGTTAAACCCACCATAAGTCCAGTTAAACCACCATAAGTCCAGTTAAACCCACCATAAGTCCAGTTAAACCCACCATAAGTCCAGTTAAACCACCATAAGTCCAGTTAAAGCCACCATAAGTCCAGTTAAACCCACCATAAGTCCAGTTAAAGCCACCATAAGTCCAGTTAAAGCCACCATAAGTCCAGTTAAACCCACCATAAGTCCATAAGTCCCGCAGGTTTGGCAGTGTTTGGCTATGGGCCGTGACCGTGCGATGACGCGCACCCCTTTGGATCTGGCCGTTGGGGCGCCATGTGATGGTGGTGGCTGTGAGTTGATGAGGTGGGATCATGTTAGTCAAGCAATGTGACCACTCAACTCACATAGGAAAATGGAGGTTTTAATGGGTAAACCATAGGAAAACCATAGGAAAACCACAGGAAAATAGGAAAACCATATATCTATATATATATCATATGTTGATGGTTTATAAGGTTTACGTCACCAACATGGTGAATGGCTAGGGATGGTTTACTATTGCTTTACTAACAAACAATCCATAGGATTATATGTGTATATACCATGTGGATCCACATGCTTCCATTAGAAGGTACCTAAAGTCCTATCTTAGAATCTTATACCCCAAGCACTTCGCAAGAAGGTACTTGGATCCATAGAGATATATTAACCACAAATATATGGTGAACAAACCATGATGAATATATATTTGGATTTATGGTGATTTTTCATGGGATGTTTGACTCACCTACTGTCTTAGATGTGTGTTTGTTTGACACGGAGTATACCCCAAAATAGCAATAGGAAACCTCATACCCTCTGGTAATTTAACATAGCTATTGAAAATGGCCAGTTATAGTGGATTTCCCCATTAAAAATTGTGATTTTCCATAGTTATGTAAACGTTTACCAGAGGGTAGAGAATTTTAGGGTACCCTATTTTCAGACAAACCAAATATCCAAATATTGGATTCGCCATGATTCGCCAACAATCGACCGGTAGTTTAGAAACCAAACATGGACTATAATATATATATATACACATAATTGAATATATATATAATATGTGTATACATAATAATTTATATATATATATATGTAATAAATATAATATATATGCTTTTATATACATGGTGTACATGTGCATTATATATAGTGTGATATATGTACACAAGTTAGAATAACATCATTTGATGGTGGATTTGTGTTTTGCTTTCCCGACTGTAAGATGACAAAATTCCCAATGACTATCAACGTTTTTGGGATGGATTGAATCCCACGTTTCCAGATAATGATACCTACAGTGTGGCCGTTTCCAGATACCATTTACTGTAAATACCTTATCGCCATTTAGACTTTGATGCATCCTGGGCCCATTGAAATGCAACAGTGCAACTGATTCCCCACTGGTTATCTCAAGTGACCAGCATTGCTGTAGCGCAGGTAGAAGAAAACATGGAAAGAACTAGAACTAACAAACTAACAAACAGGGATGAGCGAGTCATGGTCAGTTCAACGTAGCAACTACGGGTTGAGATGACCGCTGGAAGCTGTTCCTGACAGCGACATTTGGATACATGTGATGTCTCGGGGTCCCTTAGCCAGTTCATTTCTGGTTTTCAACGTGGAAGACTTGATATCAAACAACTCTCAGCAAGTCCAACGGCATTGAAAGAAAAGCGCATTGCTATCTGCCTTAAATTTGCAGTTCATTAACAGCTCTGTAATTTTTCATCAGAAAGGGCAGTCGGCAGTCCAGTTGGTGAATTGTCCGAGCCTTCAAGTTTGACACAGCTTCATAGTAATAGTAGGTTTTTTTTGGTGAATCCCCAGGTGTGTTGCAGGCCATCCCCCATGTTTGCAGAATATTTCTCTTGGTGATTGTTGGTTGAATTCCTTACCCTCTGGTAAACTAACATAGCTATGGAAAATCACCATTTTTAATGGGAAAACTCACTATAAATGACCATTGTCCATAGCTATGTTAGTTTACAGAGGGTATTGTGCCAATGTGCCAACCCCGTGTTTGGTCCATCCAGAAGCAGAATCACATTGCTGCGTAAGGATCCCCAAGATGGGATGGAGCACCATAACCCTTTTTTAATGTGTTAAACCCAATGATAAACCTACCATGAAGGGGGATGGTGTATACCATCCATGTATGATGACTTTGGGGATGGCCAAGCTGGCATTGGGTATGGCCCACATCATGTTTTGACCATGGCACACGCGTTTTATCCGGTAACATCCGCGCGCCCAGGTCTTTTCTGGCAACAAGGCACGCACTTCTTGAGATGCAATCCAAGCTGGCAGTGCATGTATGTAGATGTGTGCAGGCTCCATTCCTATACATGTAATCATAGATGTATCTATAATTACATTATATGTTATTATTGCATACATATATATATATATTGTAGAGCTTCGCACACCGGCGATGCCACAAGGGCTATTTATAGTAGTGTGAGCGTTGGTGTTGTTCATGCGCTCTGCGCGTGCGCGCAGGCGCAGAGCACAGTGTGATGTTCTTGTCATACCGCACCTTGTAACCATCTTGCCACACATTTTTTGTCGCATGTTTGTGCTTGTTTTTCTTCCTGTTGTTCTTCTTGTTGTTGTTGCTGCTGCTGTTGTTGTTGTTGCTGCTGCTGTTGTTGTTGCTGGTGCTGGTTCTGGTGTTGTTGTTGTTGTTGTTGTTGTTGTTGTTGTTGTTGTTGTTGTTGTTGCTGTTGCTGTTGCTGCTGCTGCTGCTGCTGCTGCTGCTGGTGTTGTTGTTGTTGCTGTTGTTGTTGCTATTGCTGTTGCTGTTGTTGCTGTTGTTGCTGTTGTTCTTGCAACGCAGCTTATATATTTTCGCATTTTTTGTGGACTCTAAAAATTGTCGAATAGGTTGTGTTTTCGCATTGCTTGACACTGCTATATAACGAGTCCTTTTAAATCTCTGGCGGAATGGTGACAAGGCATGTTTTTTCCAATCTGGAAGCCACTCACCTTTTGTGAACTAGTCACTAGTCAAGTACTGGAAGGGTTGCACTTTTACTTTCTTCTGCAGCAAATGCTGTGAACTTTTGCTTTCATGGCAAAGAGTGAAGTGAGGATCTGCCTGGTTTGGAGAAAACAACAGGTCCATAGCAAATCTACTGGGAGCTGCCGGGAGGGAGAAAGCTGCAGCTGCCATGGTGTTTTCAGTCCGGGGATACTTCACATGTGGGACTTTTAAACTGAACGCAATGAATCAAAACGCATTTCCTCTCAGGGCTGGGCTCCTGGAATTCCTCCAGCTTGTAATTAAAGGTGTCATGTTTTTATGTTTTTGGCGAACGGCGTAAATGTTTATAATATAATATAATATAATATAATATAATATAATATAATATATGTGTTTTAACGTATTTATATTCTATTTGTGGCATGTCTGCATATGTCTGCAATGTATATAAAATCTAAAAATCTAGATCAAAGATTACACAAATAGCTAGCACATGACACAAAAGAGCATCCTGTATGTTTACATTCAAGTACTTACTTTCTTTAGTCCTGAACATCTTACACTTTCATCCACCTACCAGCACTTCCCTATTTAAAATGTAAATGTTTGTTTACCTTGTTTATGCTACCACCGCCCGAAGCGAACTCAGTGTCTTTGCTTTTTTTCATAACTTTCATCTGCATCCGCACATGGCTTCTTGACATGATCAATCACAGATACATTACTCGCACATACCTTCGGGTCGGGGGGATGTTGGCGTCCTTGTGCACTTGCTCACATGTTCTTTGCTACGCTCCACACTCTTTTTTTTTGCATGATTGTACATACCGCTAACATCTTTCATGCTACACTACTCATGTCTTCTTTACATGATTACTGTAGGCGTTCTACCAGAGAAGTGAGAAGACAAAATGGTCGCAAGATCACAAATGGCACACAGACGTTGGACAAATGTTGGGATTACTGTAAAGATTTCATTCCAATCAAGAACAAACTTTTGAATGCTGAGATATGGAACTACGTCTACCAATGGCAATGGCGATACCATCATCGCCATGCCTTGTGGCAAATGGTGCCCAAGGCTCTGAAAGAACTTTGCGCATGAGATGTTGCACCTGCAAATGAGAAAGGTAAAAAGGACCGAGTTCGCTACGGGCGGCGGTACATTGTTTATGGCTTTATGGTTTTAAGGTGTAGGCTATTGGGTGTGTTTGTATTTCATGTGGTGTGTATGTGCGCTTACTTGCTTGATCGTGTTTTGTATTTTTTCGGCGTATCCAATGTTCTCTTTGATATGGGGTTATTCTATTCAATCACATGGGCATGGGTCAAGATTAAATGCCACCAGGAATGCTTCAATGCAAACAAATAGTTTTGTGCCCTCGTGGGTTTATTACTGCACTATTTCTTCGCCGTACTGTGGATGGTTGCGAAATCCTGCGCCAGTTGGAAGATTGGCAAAATCCCATTAAATTCCCAAAAGATTTACAGTGTTTGAAGGAATCCCAATAGTTCCCAACTGGTGCAGGATTTCCTCCATCCACAGTATGTTATGAAAATACATCAAAATTCTGTTTTGATGTGGGATTTACCCAAATGCCATACCAACCATCCCATAATCCAACCACTCGCATGTCATATAAGTCACACACACACACGTATATATATATACATCTATCTATCGATCGATCTATCTATCTATCTATCTATCCATCCATCTATCCATCTTTCCATCTATTCATCTATCTATCTATCCATCTATCCATCTATCCATCTATCTTTCCACCTATCTGTCTATCTATCTTTCTATCTATCTATCTATCCATCTATCCATCCACCTATCTATCTGTCTGTCTGTCTGTCTATCTATCTATCTATCTATCTATCTTTCTTTCTATATCTTATATCTTTCTGTCGTTTTTTTTTTCATATCCAAAACCGCCCTGCCTTTGCAGCTAGGCCAATGTCATGACCTACAACCTGACGGAGACCGAGGAGGCGTCTTCTTTGACGGAAGGGGGGGGGGCTTTTCCTTGGAAAAGACGGTTGAACCCATCTGAAAGTCGGTTTCTAAGTGGGACCTGAAAAATGTGGTTTTATCAAAATATGGAATCATATTTTTCTTATATGTGACTGTTCCGAAGACCACGGTTTTTCTGTTGGGATTTTCTGTTGGGAATGCACCAAACACCTATGTTTAGGTGAGATCCATGTTTGTTCTTGGTTTGGGTGTGTTCAATAAATTAGTCGGAGATTTCCTTATTTGTTACATTGGTTGGTTATATATATATATAAGGTACCCCCCAAGACATGTTTTCAATGGATTTTGCGGTATATGCACCCTTCCCACTCAAGTCTGGACTTGTCTTTCTCAAGTCTGGACTTGTCCTTCTGAAGTGTGGCAAGTCCATCTTAGTGGATCCAAGATCCAAGATTTCTCAAGAAGAGTCTCTGGGCATCTTGGATCTTGGATCTTTCCGGGCTTGCTGGATCCAAGATTACCCAAGAAGAGTCTCTGCGCATCTTGGATCTGAATCCAAGAAAAGTTTTCTGGAGATCTTAGATCTTGGATCCAAACACTACCGTCCTGAGGTTTTCAAGTCTCGCCTGTCAGACTTGAGATTCTCAAGTCTGGTCCTTGTCAGTCTGGTTCTTGCCTATCTGGAATTCTACGTGGAACTCACATGGAGGTCCTGGCACTCTGATCCAATTTGCTGCTCTGGCACAGTGTTCGTTGTAGCATCCTTCGTGACTCAATCCTGCTTTCCTTCCTGCGTCACCTCGACCTCAATGGCGATCCTTGCTGCCGGCAGCGCTACTCTCCAAGACAACCAGGCCGTTGTCAGTCACGCCGGGCCAGCAGCCACAGCCTACACAAGGCCTGAGGACCGGGTCATTACCGGCCAGGTGCCCGTCCACGAATCAAGGCAGCCGGCTACGACTCAGCCTGTCGGGCTGCTGGGGGCATGAAGCCAGGAAGCTTCCAAGAAATTCCTTCACAACCTCACCCTGCCGAAAGTGGTACGCACACCAAAGCAGCCGCAGCAGCTTTCTCTGCCGGCACCACCTGTATCTTGGCAGGCAAGACATCGATATCTATAGACCCAGTGAAGCTAGAAGCTGACAAGTTAGTTGATATTGCCTTGAGCATGTCCATGCGTCCTGTCCCCTCGCATGCCTTCGATACTAAGGTCTTGCCGGCTTTGGAGGATCGAGCGGCGTCTCCCACTTCAAGTTCCACGAACACTTCGAGCTCCTCTTCGTCATCCTCCTCTGAATTCGAATGCGGGGAAGGGCAAGGGCCGGGGCTTCGAAATCCAGACTTGGGGCTCCAGTCAGATCACGGCGGACGATGAGCTACGTCAGGCCCGCCCAAACCCAGTAAAAGGTTATGTGCCCGCATGCTTTCTCAAGGCTTGCGCTTGTGCAAAGCAGATCCGCATGCCCAACTGTGACGTCAGGCCCACCGAAACCCGGTAAAAGGTGATGTACCCACATGCCTTCTCAAAGCTTGCGCTTGTGCAAAGCAGATGCACATGCCCAATTATGGCAGGTCTGAGCACAGGATTTCCAGTCTGAAAGGGTAGGTCTTGGGGGGGTATATGTATGGCAGGTCTGAGCATAGGATTTCCAGTCTGAAAGGGTAGGTCTCGGAGGGACGGTAGCATATATAATATGCATATATATCTGAATGAGGAACATGATGATGAACCTAAGAATTTAGGGGTACAACTCCTATAGACTATGTTTGCAAAAACTGTAGGGTCTGGGTACTGAACTGTTGCACTTTCGCGTTTTCGAGGCTCATGATTGGTGTTTGATCAGTATTGTGGATTGATTTAACTTTTGTTTGGCAGATTGGCAGATAGTCAAAACCTCTTGCCAAACCGCTCCTTCAGGAATCCTAGATGGGCATGGTGAACCGCTTGAGAAAACCCCAAGGTGAACCTATGTAAAGCTCCAGTTTGATGGCTCATACCAGTAAATTTTGTAGAGATGATTTCTTATCGATCGGTAGATCCCATAAATATGTCCTGTCCTATGTTGATGTGGTTTTCTGCCAACCATTTGCATCGAACCTAGGAGGTGTATAAATGTTAGGTAAGTATCATTTGTGTAGAAACCATTCTATCCGTCTAGGGACCAAAAAATACATATCCAGTTTTTGTTCGTCATACATATTTATAGCAACCTTTGATAGAAACGTAAAAGTAACAACCTGCTAAGAAGATCGTGATATATAGTTTTTCTTCATATTTTCGGGGATTACTATATACATATATATATATATACAATACATATATAGCAATCCCAGCACCCTAATATTAAACACCCCATAAATGGTCCCAAAAAATGTGGAATTTCCCTACTGAACCATGGTTTCTAAGCGGGTGTTTAATATGAGTATTTATAGTATTTCTAATAGAATGACAGGGATTATAGTATCTATGAGTATTTATCGTATTATTCCCACCAGTTTCATTACTGAAGGGATTATCTATTAGTATTTATAAGCTGTCATCACTTGGGGGTCTAGTTCAGGGGCTGATCACGACCCAGGCAATGGATTGTCGATCTCCTGGCAGTGGAAGTGCGGAGAAAGCCCTCAGGGAAAAGGACAGAAACAAATTCTGTGGTTTGCGGATATCTAATGCATCACTGTGTACATACATACATACATACATATATATATATATACACATGCATTATATTTAATTGTATTTTTACATATCATGCATATATATATATGAATATGAATATTTATATATTATACATACACTGTACATCATAATTGTATCATTTACAATGTCATGATGATATCAATATATGTGCAGTTTTGTGTTTACTGTGTACATTTCTGTTTACATGGCTAGGGACATTTGCACAGATACCGGTTCGTATTGTTGCAGGACTTTCCCGTCTCTGTGATTGCGGCAAGTCTCCAACAGCGTTTGGAAGTGGCCGAGATGTCTTGGGACGAGGACTGTGGAGATGGCTATGGTCTTCAACATTGACTTGGGGGACCAAGGATTTTAGCTGGTTTTTGGAATTTTTAACCCTTAAAATATTGTTGTACCATGTTGTACCCTATTTTGATCCATACCCAAATGATGTGGGAACCATGGTTTTCGGGCTGATGTTGAAAAAGGGTGCGTTGGGAAAGTTGCCCGGCAGATCGAAGAAATTGATGTCAAGGCTGGTGAAAGCCAGAAAAACTATTTTAGAATATGCCATGTCAACTGCAGTGCAAGATCTGGGTGTGTCTTAAAATTGGATAATTATATCCCCCAAAACGACCATTTTACTAGGGAAACTGATGATTCACTGATGATCATCCACTGGAATATGGTGTTTTCCCCTAAATCTTCAGACAAAGCCATGTGTCTCTGATTGTGACGAAACGTAGTACATGTCCGATGTCACGGGTTTCGTTCGTTCCAGTTGGTCCGGGGACATCGGCTGCTGGCAGCAATTTGGTGGTAGAATTTGCTTTTGACATTTAAGTGGCAGGCAACAGTAGAGATACACATACTTCTTGGTCTTTTGAAATTTGAATTGGAATATATACATATATATATATACGGTAAAATAATATATATATATATATACACGATATATGTATATAATATATATATATATATGTATACTGTTATGTATACAGTAATTACAGTATATATATATATATACATACACAGACCATATATATATATACCGATACTTCAGTTTGTGGATATTCAGGTTGCAGTTCCAATGCTCCATCCAGGACCGAGCTCGTTTGTTGGAGTTCATGGGATTGCAGGCAGAGTTTGCACGTGGAGCCCTGCACAGTGTATAGGTGTCTATCTACTATCTACGCATGTATGTAATATCATATAATATCTATAGATCTAGAGTCTAGTGTATGCACTTTACAATATGTATTTATATATATATATCATCTACCATACATATGATGTGCATATACAATTTACTGTATAGTAATACATATATAGTATATAATATATAGATATAACATCAAGGGCAGAGGGAGAGCCAAAGTTCACACTCATGGGACCAGCACTAACCTGCAGATGTCGAGATCGGCTCCACTGCTGAAACCAGCACGTGAGCAACATGGCACCGAAACTCACCCGTATGTTCGCTGGGATTTTCGTATGTCAATATTGTGTGAAATGTCGATTTCAAAAGATGAAACTCCACTGAACTTCTATGTTTGTATGTGTTTGGATTTATCTTATCAATTCTTATCATAGATCATAGATATCTTCAATAGATGATCGTTATCAATGTTCAACGGCCTCAACTTCTAGCTGTCAGGGTGAAGTGAGCAGCTGCAGATCCGTCAACACCAGGTCCAGGGATGATAAACTATGATGAAGACGTAGGTCAAACATTGTTTACCCAACATCTTTCATATCAATATATAATGATATGTATATATATATATTATATAATGCAAACATATTCAGTCAACAAATTTAATAGTGGCACATTGTTGGCAATATTTGCTATATTTAAGTCCTTTTCGCATGTAGATCTGGGTAAGCTATATATATATATGTACGATGTGGGCAGATGATGTGGGCGTTAGAATCAGATGGGTATCGGTCGAAATTGAAGTCTCAGGGAAACACAGATTTGGTAATTTGTGAATTGTGGCTACTGGTGGTGCCTAATTTTGATTCTAATTTGAACATGGCATTTGTACCTCCCCAAGAAGACTAAAACACGGAAGCCCCGCAAAAAAAGGCTTGGAACATGTTTTTTTGAGTGGACAATGGACGCAGTGGACGTGACACTGTGGGTCCAAGTTCAATTTCAATCAATTGCAGGAGTATGACAGTGACCGTCAGTTGGTCCATCCTTTGGACAGATCCGTTGATTGTCGGTACTTTGGGTGCTATGAGGAACCGTAGATAACACACTCTTGGTCAAGCCCAGGGAATGTTGAGGACGGTATGTATACACATATGTATGTATGTATGTATGTATGTATGTATGTATGTATGTATGTATGTATGTATGTTATGTCTGTTATGTCTGTTATGTCTGTTATGTCTGTCTGTATGTCTGTATGTATGTATGTATGCATGCATGTATGTATGTAATGTATGTATGTATGTATGTATGTATGTATGTATGTATGTATGTATGTATGTATGTATGTATGTATGTATGTATGTAATGTATGTATGTATTAATGTATGTAATGTATGTAATGTATGTAATGTATGTAATGTATGTAATGTATGTAATGTATGTAATGTATGTAATGTATGTAATGTATGTAATGTATGTAATGTATGTAATGTATGTAATGTATGTAATGTATGTAATGTAGTAATGTATGTAATGTATGTATGTATGTAATGTATGTAATGTATGTAATGTATGTAATGTATGTAATGTATGTAATGTATGTAATATGTATGTATGTATGTATGTAATGTATGTATGTATGTAATGTATGTAATGTATGTATGTATGTATGTAATGTATGTATGTATGTATGTAATGTATGTATGTATGTATGTATGTATGTATGTATGTATGTATGTAATGTATGTATGTATGTATGTATGTATGTAAATGTAGTGTAATGTAAATGTATGTATGTAATGTATGTAATGCATGTAAATGTATGTATGTAATGTATGTATGTATGTAATGTATGTATGTAAAGTATGTGTATGTAATGTATGTAGTATGTATGTATGTATGTATGGATGTATGTAGTATGTATGTAGTATGTATGTATGTATGTATGTATGTTGTATGTATGTATGTGTATGAGTATGTATGTATGTATGTATGATGTATGTATGTATGTATGTATGTTATGGTATGTATGTATGTATGTATGTATGTATGTATGTATGATGTATGTATGTAGGTAGGTATGTATGTATGTATGTATGTTGTATGTATGTATGTATGTATGTATGTATGTATGTATGTATGTATGTGTGTATGTATGTAATGTTGTATGTATGTATGTATGTTACGTACGTATTATGTATGTATGAATGTATGTAATGCAATGTGCAATGGTATGTAATGTATGCATGTAATGTATGTATGTATGTAATGTAATGTATGTAATGTATGTAATGTATGTAATGTATGTAATGTATGTAATGTATGTAATGTATGTAATGTATGTAATGTATGTAATGTATGTAATGTAGGTAATGTATGTAATGTATGTAATGTATGTAATGTATGTAATGTATGTAATGTATGTAATGTATGTAATGTATGTAATGTATGTAATGTATGTAATGTATGTAATGTATGCAATGTATGTAATGTATGTAATGTATGCATGCATGCATGCATGCATGTATGTATGTATATATATATATATTATTATTATATATATACATTATATACTATATATATGTATATAGAGGTTTCCTTGTTGGTTGATGTTGATTTTTGATGGGTTTATCCCCATGTTCGTTCCCGGAAGTTATGGCAGCGCCACCAGGCTCAATGGCCTCTTTGCGCTAATGTTCCTCAGGAAAATCTTTGAGGAAAAGGCCTGGTCTGCTGAGCTGGGGGGCCACAGATTGCGTCTATTTTTAGTATCATCCAATGACTGGGGTGCCCAAGTTTGACCATCTCCATTTCTGGTTGGTGAAAGCTTGGGAACACCAACGTAAGTCTTGGATCATCATATTGTCCTGTCAGGACCAAGCGGACAAGGAAGAGTCGGTGGATCTGAAGGAAATGCAGCTGGAATTTTTTGGTGGTTGATGGGGATTTTACCCATGGAAAAATAGTGATTTGAATGTGTTTTTACAAAAAATGGGAATTGAACTTGACATGATCATAAGTTGTTGAAGGTGTAGTCAGGTCATACTGGTGGTTAAAAGGGGTATCATGGACTATATCCAATTAGGGAACCCTTCTTAACCAACCGGTAGGTTCAGGCATCACAGGAACTGATTTTGGCAGTGATTTGTGCATCCAAAACACCAAGAATGCTTATGATACATGTTCTATCAATCACGTGGAAATTGTTTGATTAAGAAATGGTTTTGTCAATAGTGTACTCCAACATGGGTTAATCATAATTGTCCCTATTAAATAGTTACTTTAGAGATACCCCATTTTCATTTTGTTCTCCCAAGTACTCGCGATTCCTCGTGGGAAACACCAGCCAGGTCGTAGTTAATTTCGATATGTTTCATAGCAATAAACATACAGGTGCCGATCAATGCCGATCAGATTTTCCGGTAATTCAATGGATAAATTTTGAGTGACCAAAGTCGGCCTGTGTCTTTGGGTTTACGGGCTTTGACTCATGATGAATTGGAGGATAGGCCACAGAAACGGATCACCCCACTGTGTTCTCTCCCCATCCTCGGTTTTGTTCATTCCCAACTTTGTTCATGTCATATTTCATTCCAATTTGTAAGGTTCAACCATCCATTACCATGATTTATGGTTGGCTGCATCGAATGCTTTGACCATCTTTGACCTATGTCAAAAAACGCCATCAATTGAGGTATCCCCAACTGTTCCCATCGATGTTCCCAAAACATTGTCTCATGTTTTGTTCATTTTCCCCATATACAATCATATTAACACAACTTTTGCCTGTAACTCAATGGCCTTTTCCCATGGAAATTTCCCGCAAGATCTCCATGTTCGGAAAAAGATCCGCCAGGACTTAGCGGCAGAGGCCTTGTCTCAAGATACCGAGCGCCTTGAGATTGACATCACCTTGGGTGCAGGTGCTGTTGATCCCCAGCCCTCCAGTCCCTCCTCGGTGCCATGACGACTGGAAACCTCCATTTTTTGGGGCAGATCAAGTCACGATTTTGGCGCAGAGGGTGTAGCAGATCAGGGGATATCTCCATTAGAGGAGATACATAGTACATTATAGTACCATCTAGTTACCAATGATTTTTTGGTATAGCCACATATAGCAACCCCCAAAAGATATAAACCAGTGGGAAATCAAAAGAACATATGCGGAAAACATCATCTTTCCTGGAAACCCGAG